ATTACCAGGCACACTTAATTAATAGGGAAAAGGCTGGCAATTTTGAATAAGTCCTTTGAACCAATTGAGACATACTCGACGGTCTCGTTGGGATTCAGACCGACGACAGCAAGGGTATAGCTTTCGTATAGGCAACGCCCAAACCACCTGATCTAAGAGGTCCCACTGGGCGCCGAGTTTCATCACACTTGGGTCAACTTACTCGCTTAGTGTACTGCAACGTTTATAATCCACCAATGGCAATACAGTAAGCTGACCACCCGATCAGGAATTCCTTAGTAATTGCCATAGCATCCCTCAGCCGACTACCAGAAGCAATTCATTCTTATGGGATTTGGGCATATCTTAATAATTTATTAAGCCCAATTATGAAAACGCGGTGGCTTCAGTGGCAGTTGAACCCATCACAGCAAGGAAGGAGTCTTCAGCACAGGCAACGCCCTAACCACTTATGTTACGAGACTTCCTCGGCACCTGTGGGTTTAATTCCTTAAGTTTACTTTTGGTAAGTTATAACCTTTCTTGCTACACCAGTTTATCTAATATCTCGGGCAGATCACCACATGTTGTTTTATTCGCTGAACCAGAAATACTTTGTAACCCACCCAGGCAGGCGAGACTGATACGTCACTCACTAATTCAAATCTCCTGTCTAATAATCCTATTGAAGTATTGAAACCTGGGCACATAGAAAGAGGGAACAGCAGGTAGTACCGATGCTGCTTAGATCGACCGAGGTTTCAACGTGACTAGGCGAATCAGGTTGACGTTGAGAAAAATAAAGTTTGTAGCGATATGACCAATCTATCATGGCATGCAGTTCCGTCTTCAATTATCTTGACTTAGTTCAAGAAGCAGATTGCAAAGAGACTGGAAAACAAGTGTTGTCGGTGCAGAGTAGGTTTTGTACATACAGATACAATTACAAGCAAACCCTCTTCCTAGTGAAGAACGATCCTCATTGAAAAAGCTGTTAAAAATTGAGCTGACAGAATCCGTGAGCTAATGGAGCTAATCGGCGTTAAATTTAGTACTAATAATTTGCTTGGGACGGCAAACTTTGATTTTTAAATGTGGAAATTTAAAGTAAAGGAAAGCAGGCTCAGAATTAACGACGTGCATAGATATTCTACTAGAGTATCTCATCTGAAGAAATTTCGAATTTTTATCTCACAGTTGATATGGTACACTTCCGCAGCAACTATGAACTCACGAAATACGAAGGTCATAAAGAAGAATGGTTAAAATGGTCGTTTTGTTTTATTTTTTCAATAGGTATGACCGAACTTACAAACGAACCCGTCAAAAAGGATCCAGAAGACCCAGAAGAAGCAGATGTTTCCCCTTTCACGCCTTTCCAGATGATGGAAAGTCTGCTTGAAAAACTAAAGTCTTTAGACTACGAACAGCAGTACTGTCGGTTAGTCTCAATTTCTAGCCTAAAAGAGGTATTTCATGCAGTCGAATGCGTCTCAAGGGCTTCTCCAAGGTTTATTTTGCGGTCCCCACAAACCCCGGAGAACAGTTTAACAGTTTTGTATCCCTTGCCGCTTGGCTGATCGACCAGAGTGGTGGTTCTATGGAACAGCCGCAGGAGTACGACGACCCCAACGCCACCATTGCCAATGTCCTTGAGTTGCTTCGAGGTCTCGGTTACTCCACCGAGTTTCCTCCATCAAAGCTGAAGTCTGGTTGCGGCGGACCCTGTATCCGCGTACTCGACCTTCTAGCGAGTGCTGCTGTCAAAAATAAGAAGCTGCGCTTTGAGCTCCCACAGTTCTCCCAAGACGAAGCAGACGATCCAGGTGTTGAGGAATGCACGCACTCGGACGACGACGATGACCTGGTGGAATGGACCAGCAAGCGTTCTCGCCAGCGGTCTCATAACAATCGTGCGGGCGGCTTCATCTGTGATTCTGAAACAGATGCCGAAGTGATCGATGACGATGAGGCCGTCCTCGACCTTGAAGGTCAGTCAGTCTATCAGCCGAATGTCATCTACGTTAGATATTTTTCAACGCCATTTTTAGACGTATAACAAAGTTGAAAAACCGACGGGCCCTTTTAGATGGTCAGTTGACGTGTAATCCAATCTTGATCCCAAGCTAACAGCCACAATGAAAAGTCTTTAAAATAAGACCGCGCGGTATTTCCGATGTATTAGCAGTGCGTATTACCATGTGCAACCCGCAAGGGGCTGCATTGTAGAAGCGCAAAACCAAAACAGGATCAATTTGGTTCTCGGCGAGCCTTATTTATGTCGCACGGACACTGCTTGAGTCCATAACTTCTGCCGAATAGGCCTGGGGCCTTCATACTGCGTGGGCAGCTACGCCCAGTCCCATCATTAGCTGGTTAACAGGCTCGTACAGGTGATATTTATCGAGGGAAATATAGGCAAATGCCTTTGAACTCCCTATTGGTAACACAGAAACTAAGAAATGCATTGGTACAGCAGAACATTTCAAAAAAGGTTGTTTGCATAATTGCAGACGAAAAGCGAGTCGACGCCGGTTAGTTCGGAAAAAGTAAACATATGCGACTACTCACTTATTCCAAACAATATAATCACATTTTTAATCTTGTGCCTTGGCTTATTGGCGATGCCAATTGACACGATCCGGTAGATAGAACTAAGCAAAAAGAGCAGATGGTGAAAAACTCATAAGCCATTGTTCAGAAATGTCTACAAGTTTGAATATCATTCGAGGAATTTTAGGAGAAAAAAAACTATCGCCTGAGGAAAATATATGCCTGCTCGCGAGCTAGTGATGGTGGCCAGCTCAAAGAAGTATTTCGATGCGATGCAGCAATCCTGACCTCACACCATACGCAATGTCTGTATTAGGCCACCGCGTAGCTGTCTGTAATCCAGAGGAAGCAATTCAGGATTGTAAAAGCGTGTCTCGTGATGCAGGTACCTGTGGCCTCATACTAGCTTCGTTGCGCGTCGTCGGAACCCGTCAAGGGTTTTTCTTTAACTGTCCACTGTTTCCAGGTTTAAATGGAAAATTCTAATTCTGGTCGCACGAATATCCCAAAAACCTTACCAAAGCACACTTATTCGAACATAGCAAAGGCGCGCTTGATGATATACAAGTTGGACATTGCAGACTTGGCCACCTTCAAGCAGTGGAGTGATGGCTTGAGTCAGGGCGTGATCCACACCACCAGATCCTTCTGAGCATCTACCTCTGGTAGCGGCGTGTGACTTAGGTAATACACCCTCCGATGTGTAGTGCTGGTTCTCCCGAAGCGCATAATCTTGCAGTTCACAACATTGAATGGCAGGAGCCAGTGGTTCGAACATTGCTCGATTCGATGCAAATTTGCTTGTAGATTTGCTTCATCATCGTCGTTGCGGATTTCCTTCCAATGTTTTAAGTCGTCAGTAAACATAATTGTTTCGCAGTCTAATCCACTTATGTGGTCATCAATGTATATAGGAAAGAGAATAGGGCCAATAACTGAACCCTGAGGAACCCCAATCCTAGTTCATTGGTGCATAGCAGACGAAAAGGAGGGTGGGACCGGCACAGAGGATTCAATTCTTACGGAACATCATCTCATTCTTCACTATAATACACCCGACTCAACTGTGTCATAAACCTAACACTAACTTTAACTCAGACCTAAACGCCCATTCTAATCTTAGTTCTAATTTTACCTTGACCCT